GCCTCCATCTCTGTGGTACTGGAAAACCAAAAAAAAAAAAATCATCTTTATTATTGCGTTCTGTAAAATGGGATTATCTCCCAGGGATAAAGTGATAACAAAATAATAGGTTTATTGAGAGCCGCACAGAAAAGATGTGTTATGGCTACAAGATATTACTCTGAAATATCATAGATGCTGCTTTCCTTTTCCACAACAAATCAAATGCTACCTTGTACAATTTATTATTATTGCCTGCTCTTTACTCTTTATATTTCTGCTCCTCAAAGAATTACTTTTTGTGTCCTTTTCCTCAAAATGATTTTATATTCCTTTTTCCCTGCTGAGATTCAAAGAATTACTCAAACTTAATTTTAAGGTGTTAGGGACCTAGGGCCCCAGCCCAGCTCTGCTGCTGCTCACTGAGGGCCAAGCAGTCACTGATGCATTTCAGCTGGTGGGGCTGGGCTTCCTCCTAGGGGCTCAATTTTTTCAATCCCACAGTTTATAAGATGGATGCTTTTCATATTCACACATCAAGATTTGAGTGAAATCCACAAACATTTTGTGGAGGTATGAAATGAATATCATTGCAGCCCTTCTAACTGCAACAAATATAATAATTTACAGAATGTCAGTTAGCTCACTCACTGTGTCATAGATAAGATAGGCCCAAGGTTATCAGCAATTTATGGAAAGCGGGCTGTAACTGCACCTCTTTATTCCCCATCCAGAAAGCACTTCAAAATGCAAATTAAAATGATAACATTGTCATGAAAATCGTTTGGAATTCAATCCAATTAATTTTTTAAAAATAAATCTTTTCCAAACAACAGCACATTCTTATTAATAATAAAATCATTGGTGATAGCACTCACACCTGATCACCACTCTCTGGTTGAGAACCACAGGACTAGGTGATTTTCAGATGTCTTCCCATCTCAGAGATGGTTTTGGGCTTTTATCCAACAGACCCTATGATATTCTTTCTGCATTCACTGCTTTGAAAATGAGTTACCCTGAGCAATGACTTCTAAGTTTAGTTCAGTTTGCTAATCTGAAAAAAAAATGCATTGTAGTCATTCTTTAAAAGACTCAGCCCTGTGAAGAAAACAAAATTACTACACTCCATTATTTTGTCCTGCAGAATTATATGAGAATGGAAGATGTTGGGCCCAGGGCTTGATCTCACGAAGAGCATCATCATCTGAAGCCAAGGCCTCAACCCCTGGTGGAGGCAATGGGGCCACTGATTCATGGGTGCCTAAATCTCTCAAATGGAGAAATCATTTTATGTCAGACTGTTCGCTTCCATTTTTATATTCAGCATTTCTTCCCATTCACTTATTTATTTCCCTTTGGGATTCTTTAAAACCTGGCTGGGGAATTTTTAGAAAGTAGTTGTAATATCTATAAGGACAACACAATATTTAGGTTACAGTTTCCTTTTTAAACATTTTAATCACTTATTATTTATCCTATTTATCCTGGAACAAAGTCTTCAAAAACAGGATATTCTTCATAAGTCCTATTTTAGGTATAATGTGGCAGATCACAAGCCAGCTTTTATTATTTTTTGATATGGAATCTTGGAGTTTCCACAGCTTATGTTTTGAGCCAACAAAAATATACAGAGATAGAAAGCAGGGAATTTTCAAATGCTATTGACTTACTTCATAATATTATGCTTTTGCAGATATACTCGCTTAACAGGGCTGTGAATTTTAAGTATGATGGAAATGGAAAGTTGGTTTGTGTGAACTCAGAGGAAAAGATGGTAAAAATAGTTTGCATCCGATGATACCACATCCCAAGAAAGGGCGATGCCTTAATTATCTGCAAGGCTTTCCTGGACCTCTGCCAGCACAGGAAGACCAAAAAAGGTCTGGGGTTGAGCTGAATTGAGACTGTTTTGAAAGTAGGCACTGTATTAGAGTGGAAAGAAAAATCATCAGAGAATCAGGAAGCTTAACTTCTAGTCCTGGTTTTCTTATTACCTAGGGATGTGCCTTTGAGCAGTTCAGTTAACCCCTCTGACCCTCAGTTTCCTCCTCCTTCTAATGGAGGAAAGAAAACCAGTCACCTTGTGTACTTCCTGGAAAGGAGGCTTTTAGGAGGCTCACATAAGATAAAAAGAAAACACTTAGAGAATTTTTTGAACTACAAAAGCATGTTGCAAATGTGATATATCTTTATAGATCTTTTTACAATTCAATCATCTTTGAACACCCAATGTTTAAACTGGATTGGATAGCAAGTTTAATTGGGACATTCTTGCTTGACAGGACCTGGTATTTGCATCATTAGTATTTGTTTACACCCTTTCAAGTCTGTCTATCTCTTTGGTTTAGCAATATTAATGGTTCTGTTGTCGAATAGAAGGGAAGTCTATGAAATAGACCCAAAAGATGGTGATAATAAGGTTTGGTCTTAGATCTTCCTCTAACTGACCATCAGGACAAACCCCATCTTTTTTTACACCCCTCTTGACAAGTTCAAACTTCTGCACGCAGTTATCAATATACCTCTGTTTACTTTTCTTATTCTAATTCTGAATTTTCCAAGACTTTCATTGTGTACACTATAATTTTAGATGGGTCATTTGCAATATCCTTGACGATATTTATTTCCACTTGGCCTTTGCTTCACCTTTCTATTCTAATGGTTGGGTTTGCTAATGCTCCATCAAAGCCCTGCCAGATGATGACCCCACATGCCACAGATCCTGGAGGTGAGACTAGGGCTCCTTCTTCTCACTTATACTTCTACAACATCCCTTTCCACTGCTACCCCAAACCCATCTCCTTTATTTTCCTGATAACTATGGTGACCTTACTTTATTCCTCTACACCATGCTTATCTTTATCTTGGAAAATCGAATTCCCTCATGCACCTGGCCTTTGAGTTCCTTGGATCTTTCTTATAATAGTCATGCATCTGCCCAACTTCAATAATTCCCTCCCATAGCCCTTCTCTAAAACTCATTACCACCATAATATCCCTAACTGAATTCTTGATATTAAAATTCTCATTTTCTGACCATCACCTCTTATTTTTCTCCCCTATTCACTAGCTATGCTACAATCCCAATTTAACAATACTCTGGCTATATCTTGTTGTCTCTATATACCATAATCCAGACTCACCTTCACCCTCTATGCCCTCTTCTTCCAATGTCCTCATCTGTATCCTCCCAACTTTGGTTGACACAGCATTTCCTGATGTGGGTCCTGTCCTGCTGTAGGTAAACCTGACTAGAACAAAACCAGTGGATATTTCAGGTGTGTGACTTCTTTTTATATTTATTTCACATCATCTGTACTCTATATTTCAGGCCACTAACAACACCCCATATTTACCAAATATATACACTTAGTAAATATTTATTTTGACACCATTCTTAGTGTAGAGGGGGAAATAGACATGTCCTCGTCCAGGGACTCAACTAGAAACATTGGAACATACAGAGTAAACGTAAGAGCCTAGAACCTGAAGTGAACGGATGGGAAAAGTCTGTCCAAAACATCAAAAAAAGTAACAACAATGACCTAAAGATATGAAATAGAATTTTCATGAAGTTTTTCAAAGAATCTCGACCTTGTAAGAGGACCTGTATTGTTTCCTTGGATTCCTAATGCCTGACCCACTGATATTTGACCAATTTGGGTATGGTTCTTTTGTTACTCATTATTAGCCCAGAAATCATAATGAGGAAGAGGAAGGACTTTAGAGACCAGCTAGCCTACTCCCTTCTGCTCTGCAGATGAGAAAACTTGGCACCTAGAGTGAAGACTCTTACCTCAGATTACCCCTTCATCTACAGAATGAGATAAGAACCCAGTTTTCCATACTTTCAACTAGTTCTTTTTTCTTCATGGTATGCTGCAAATGTCAGAACCTCTTAGTTTAGTAGTGTAATGCTAAGCACTCCTTGAATGACCTCTAGGTTCCAAAAGAAAGTCTCATGTGTTGCTTATGAAAATTGGAACTTTGATTTATCATGTAAATAAAAATATCCCATTTCAGAGGGAGATTTCCAAAGGTATTATGCTTTTGGGAAAAATGTCTGATATAGTTAAATGGCAGAATAATATCTTAGACTTTTTTAATACAGCAAAATCTGATCATAGTACATTATGAGATCATTCCCAAATTACATGAGCCATTTGTAACCCATTTGGTTTCAATGATTTTCTCTCTTGGTATTTGCTCCTTTTTTTCTTTCTCATGTATTTACTTAGCCCTGTCTACTGCAACCTTGTAAAACATCTTCTCTAAATCTCCTTTCACTAATGTAAACAGCTATTTCGTAATCTTTTAGAGTGGGGGTTGTGACTGAATATTTTCATCTGTTCCTTAGTGTTGGTCGTATACAAATAAATAATGGAATTGAGTTAATTGGGGTCAGAAAGTGTGGTGGGATGGGGTTTGGCTCTTTTCCAAGGAAATCCTACTCTGGCTGACTGGACGCAGCTATAGGAACACAGAAAAAAGATGTTTTTGGACTGAGGGCCTCCATTAATTCTACTTTAAAGCTCTAGCAAGGATCAAAAGGAATTCGTCCTTCGAATTCACCCTTAAAGTGAATCTAGACAAGGTGTTCCCATACTGTCTGCTCATCCCTTTCCTTACTGAATTCCTATCGCAGATTCTGAATACTTAGCATAAATAGTTGTGGTATTTAAAATTCAAAATTGGCCTGAAAGTGGTATTAAGGAACTTATCAACTTAAGAAGTGGGTGCAGTCTTCTGGGTCATCTGTCACATTCATATGTCAGGTTGGAATTAGACCTCATGGGCTTCTGGGTCCCTTCAGGAACATTAATGCCTGAAAGGAGGGTGTGTCCCTCAGTAGTCTTGGAGCTTTGATATAGTGTACAGAGAGAGAACTGGGAATGAGAAGAACTGTGTTTAAGACCCAATGCCTGCTTCTCCATATCTGTGTGATCTTTCTCAAGTAACCAGACTTCTCTGTTTCCTGACCAACACTGAGGACAAAACCAACCACTTCCTTCTCTTTTAGGGTTGCTCTGAGGCTCACAGGCTGGAACTTCAAGGCACTTTGTACAGCTCTTCAGGTAAGAGTGAAGAGCTAACACAAATGTGAAGGGTTATTAGTAACTCAAAGAAATGTCCTGAATAGTTGCTTCAGAAATCATCCACTTATTTATTTAATGTAAATTCATAGGCATTTGGGGCTAGGGGAGCACCAGATGGGGTAATAAGGAAAAATGAGCAAGACTTCTATGCCCAAAGAAGTAAAATCTGTTGATAAAGTAAAGCACACACTAGAAATAGTAATAAAATGATTTCATGGCAAGATGCTTTTAAAGAAGTCCAGAGGTGAGGATTAGCAGAGAAGATGGAAGGTCATCCGTAAAAGGAGAACTGAAATTAAAAAAAAGTACTTTGCTTGTTTGAAATGCTGCACTTAAACACATGGGATAGTCAAATCATAAATGATTATGTTCTGAATTCCAACAAATTTATGAAAGGTAAAGAAGAAATAATTTTTATATTGAGTCTTCTTTCCATTAATATTTTATGTAATTATTCAGTGCTATTACAATGAATGTTGGTGAGGATGTGGGGGAAAAGGCACTCATACATCACTGGTGGGACTGCAAATTGGTGCAACCACTCTGGAAAGAAGTATGGAGATTCCTAAGAAAATTTGGAATGGAACCACCATTTGACCCAGTTATTCCACTCCTAGGTTTATACCCAAAGGACTTAAAATCAGCATACTACAGTGACACATCCACATCCGTTTATAGAGGTTCAATTCACAATAGCTAAACTATGAAACCAACCTAGGTGCCCTTCAACAGACTAATGGATAAAGAAACTGTGGTTTATATTTGAAATGAAATATTACTCAACCTTTTTAAAAGATTTTTTATAGTAGATGGACACAACACCTTTATTTTATTTTTATATGGTGCTGAGGATCGAACCCAGTGCCTCACACATGCTAGGCAAGTGCTCTACCAACTGAGCTATAACCCCAGCCCTATTACTCGGCCTTAAAGAAGAATGAAATTATGGCATTTACTTGTAAGTGGATGAACTGGAGAATATTATGCTAAGTGAAATGAGCCAATCCCAAAGAACCAAAGTCCAAATGTTTTCTCTAATATGCTAACGTTAATTCACAATAAGGGGTGGGGGAAGAATAGAGGTATTTTAGATTAGACAGAGAGGAGTGAAGAGATGGGAGAGGGCATGGGGAATGATAGTAGAATGAATCAGACATTATTACCCTGTGTGCATATATGATTACATGACCTGTGTAACTCTATACCACATGAATGAGGTATAGAGTTATATTCCATGCATTCTACTATCATGTATAAATAATTAGGACAAATAAACCCCCCCAAAGTCAATGCTATTTTAAAATTCAGTAAGCCACTCATATCATGTGTTTTATTAAATATAATTTTTATTTGTTTATTTTATTAGGGCATTATAGCTATACATAGTAGTTGGGTTCATTTGAAAAATCATACATGCATGGAGGTTGATTTACTTCAGTTGAGTCCCTGTTCTCCTCTTTTCACTCCCCTCCTCCTTCCCCCTATTCTCCTGCCTCTACCCTGTTATCTTCCCTTTCTTTCTTTCTATTATCTATCTATCTATCTATCTATCTATCGGTAGTAGGGATTAAACACAGGGGTGCTTACCAATGAGCCACACCTCAGCTCCACGCCCCTTTAATTTTGAGCCAGGGTCTTGCCATGTTGCCTAGGGCCTTGAGAACCAGATGAAGTTGGCTTTGAACTTGAGATCCTCCTGCTTCAGTCTCCCCAGCTGCTGGGATCACAGACATTTGTCACTGTGCCTCGCTATTTAGTTTTGATTGCTTTCTACAGATACATAAAGATGGACTTCTGTGTGGTATATTTATATATGTGCATAATATGATTTTGTTAAATTTGACTTTCCCTCCATTTTCCTGACCCTTCTCCCTCCCTCCCAATCTCCTTCTTATAGTTCACTAATCTTCCCTATGTCTCTACGATATCTGATTCTGCTCTTCCCAATACGGTACCTTTTTTCCTTATGTTGGTCTAGCTTTCACACATGAAAAAAAAAAAAAAAAACCCTTGATTTTCTGTGTTTGGCTTATTTCACTTTGCATGATAGTCTCTATTAAGTATCATTTTACTCTCAATGATAACTAACATACCTCAAAATTCCAGGAAGTCACAATAAATTTAGTTCACAATAGGCTATTTACCACACAAAGGTCCTTCCTGTAGTTGGCCTTTCAGAAAAATCTCAAACTTATATCAGCTTGCTAAAATACATTTCATGTCCTGATAAAAGATAAATAAACAGACTGTCTTCTGAGTTAGAAGTTGAAGTATGCTAAAGTTCTTTACTGATATTGCACAGGTCTTCTTCATTGTGGTACAGGAACTGTGTCTAAGTCTTCATGCTCCCAGTGCTGGCCCATGTCTGTCTGCTAGTTTCTCAACAAGCATTCTGTGAATTGAACTGAATTGTGAAATTGTGAGAGACACTGCTCATTGCCTGCCTACTCTTTTTTTCTTATGAAGAGGAACCTGATTTATTGGGGGGGGTAACAATGTATTCCATTAAAATAGTCAATCTCCTTTCTTTTCAATGAGATATTAATGGAAGTCACCTTGTGGGATTTATTGGGAAACTCCTTAAAAAGGGACAATTCCATTGGCTTTGACTTTCCTTGCTCTTCACTTTCCCCTTTGTTTCCTGCCTGAAGTACAGATGATGTTTGACAAGGGAGAAGCCATATTAGGATCAGGAGGGTTAGTCATAGGACGAAGAGGGCAGAATCAGAACCAGAATCAGTCTGGGCCCTCCCAGTTTTCTTTCAAATAATTGAACCCAACTTTTCCTTCAAACAATTGCCTCTAACTGAAGACTCTGAGGATTCTGTTTAATAAGGCCACGGTGAGATTTCTGTTACGTACAGGTATACAGAGTCACAGATGTAGATCATTGGATCTATCTAGAGCATTTATTCTCAAATGAGGAAGAGTTCGATATTGTCCAATCAATCAAAATGCTTTTTCACTCTCCCTACCACATTCAATATGTCCTGCCAAAAAAAAAAGAATCACTCCTCCTCTCACCTGGGTGAGAACTGCTGTGATAATGAGCCACAGTTGTTGTTGGAAATGCTGCTTTTCTCAAATGTGCTAGGCCACTCAAGAACAAAGGCTGGGAGGCCCATAATAAATTGAGGCCCTGAAACAGCTGGGGGTCTGGGGGTGCTATGAATCTGGTAGTTATTAAGCAGGTGGAAAGAAGCATCTCGGGTTCCAACTGAAGCCTCACCAAAAGATGCTTACTGTTTTGATGTGAGCAGTGAGGGGACTGGTAATGCTGGGCTAGACAGGTGGCACTGATGTGATAACACCATTTTAGCATCAGAAGGCACATTTACAGCCATATGGTCAGATACCCTGTCCAGGGAAAAACTTGACGTCTGCCATATTTTTAAGAGATATCATCCAACCTTGCTTGAACATTCCCAGTGGCTTTTAACTATTGAATTCACGAAGCCATCCGTGGCTCTGTTGAGGAGATTTAATAGCTGGAAAGTCTGTCTTTCTCATGATCATAGTATATCTCATTATAGTACTTTGCTATATTTCTTTAAAGAGATCATAAGCTCAGTTTGCTTTTGACAGTTATGAAATCATGTGAATCATTTGGAACGGTATTATTATCTCCAACTGAGCATTTGTAAAACTTCTCAGAGAAGTTATGTGTACTCATGCAAGATTTCCCAGTTCCTAGGTAGAGATGCTAGATGCTAGGGAGAGGAGATGAATTGGGTCCAATACAATAAACTTGCAATCTGTTGAGGAATTTTGTATTTCTAAGACTTTCATTTGGGAAAGTGTGGTCAATTCTTGCAATATTGTTAGAGAGTAGCCTTTATCTGACTCGTTGACCTAAAGCTCCAAGACGTGAAGTGACTTGCTTCAGATCCCAGAGTGGTGAAGATAGAAACTGATCACAGGGCAACACCTTAACTTCCCACAGATATTATAGGACATCAGGTAGCTAACAGTTCACTGAATTTTCTATTGTAGATCAGCAGAAACATTGAAATTCATTATGGCAGTGGATATTTGTTGTAAGAACTTCTTTTTTGATCTATTCATGGCAAATCAGCCTGTTTTAAAGTTTCTTGAGATGTTGACAGTATGTTTTTGTAGGTCATATTATCTTGTGCTAATCTTCATTCTTGCCCAAGTAAAATCTGTGCTCTTTAGCACTTTGATATTTTTAGCCCTTACTCATAAAATCCATGGGTTTCTGATTCATTTTATAGATTTTGTTCACTATTCTATGTTTGTTCCAATAAAACAGCTGAAGATTATGCTATTTGGGGGGCAGATGTGAATACAATGTGTTTAGGATAGAGATGAAGAGTTTTAAAATCCCATAATGAAGCTTAAAGCTTAAACTTCATTTAAAGTTTAGAATTTCACTCATTATCTATTAATTTGTTATTAACATAAATATAATTTATAGTCAAGATTTTGATTTGCTTTCTAAGTCACTTCTCTACCAAACATATATTTTATTTTATGGGCAGGGATGAAGCTCAGTACTAGAGTGCTTGCATAGCATGCTTGAGGTCCTAGGTTCAATCTCCAGTACTGAAAAAGATATCAATACATACAGATTGACTTTAGATTTTGTTAATCTAAAGGGACATGCTAAATTAATCGAGTAACTCTCACTTATAGTTGACTTTAACAAAGAAAACAGGCAGAAGATTTTTTCAAAATATTTATTTTTTGGTTGTAGCGGGATGCAATACCTTTATTTTATTTATTAAGTTTTATGTGGTGCTGAGGATCAAACCCAGGTCCCCGCATGTGCTAGGCAAACACTCTACCTCTGAGCCACAACCTCAGCCCAAAGGTATTTTTAATATAATTTTGTTTCTTTAGCTACCAGAACCATTGGTTTTATTCCAATGGTACCAGGAATTTATGGAGCTTGCAAATATCATCCAACATATTAACCAAGAACAGGACACCAAAAGGGACAACTCTGAAAACAACACATCTCCAAATATTTGTATGGAAATCAACCAAATTCTTCTCAAAACCAAGGACCTTCTAAAACAATTGCCACCGTCCAATTTTAACACTCTACATTACCTTATCATCCATCTTAAGAGGTAAGAATTTTTATACCCTCTTAGCCATTTTTAATTGAACAGGGCAATAGTATTCAGTACATTTAAATTGTTGTGTTATGATTTTCAAAATGATTTTTAGGATGTTCTTATTATGTGGTTTTTTTTTTTTAATATATCTTGAATATATGTTCATGCAGCAAACATGGTTCCCTCAGATGCTTCCTGTGTGCCAGGCTCTGGCTGGTGAAACTAGGATAGAAACATAGGTTTTCTGCTATTTGTGGGCTTATCCTCTTGGGGTACAGATCTGCATATAACCACAGTTCACCATCATCCTTTTTCTAGTAGCTGTGCGCAGCTTGTAGGCATGCAGAGGAAGTTTTGGGGGTAGGGATAGAGCAGAAGGGGCAAATGCTTTTGAGTTCAACTTTAAGAACTGCATGATGATTTGGTAGAGAATGTGCAGAAGAGCATATGAGGCAGAGAGAAACAGACATGGAGACACAAGAATTCATTTTGCATTTGGAAAATCTGATTTCATTAGGCTACAATATAGCAAGCAGTAGCAGGAACTGTGCTACCCTTCCTAGAGACTTGATAAAAAATCTTATGTACCTGGCAGATGAGTTGACCATGTTGTTTCTATACCCACTAAAGAACGTGGAATCAGGAATTTCCCATATTCAGATTTGCCTGCTAGACCTTTCTGACAGCAATTTAGATCTCCTTTTTTAAATTTATTTTTAATTTTTTTTTTTGTGGCTGGAATTGTGGCTCAGCAGTAGAGCATGTGCAAGGCCCTGGGTTCGAACCGCAGCCCCACATACACATAAATAAATAAAATAAAAATTTAAAAAAATTTATTAGTTCAAATCAGTTATAAATGACAGCAGAATGCTTTTCAATCCATTGTACACAAATGGAGGACAAATTTCCATTTCTCTGTACATGATGTAGAGTCATATCACATGTGCCAGCATACATGAACTTAGGGTAATGATGTTTGTCTCATTCCACCATCTTTCCTACCCCATACCCCTCCTCTTCCTTCCCTATCCTGAGCCCAATCAATGTTCCTCCATCCCCAGAGACCCAATTATGTATCAACATTTATTTATCAGAGAGAATTTTGGCCTTTGATTTTGGGGGATTGGCTTACTTCATGATATTCACCAACTCCATCCATTTACCTGTAAATGCCATTATTTTATTCTCTTGTAATGCTAATAGTCCATTGTGTGTATATACCACAGTTTTTTTTAACTATTCATATCTTGAAGGGCTTCAAATTATTCCATGAAACAGAAAAGGAGGAAACCCTTCCCAAACTCATTCTGTGAAGCCAGTATCACCCTGATACCCAAACCAGCCAGAGACACATCAAGGAAAGAAAATTTCAGATCCATATCTACCCGAGGAACATAGATGCAAAATTTCTCAATAAAATTCTGGCAAATAACATACAAAAAAATATGGAAAAAAAAATGCACCATGATCAAGTTGTGTACTCCAGGGATGCAAGGTTGGTTCGACATACAGAAATCAATAAATTTAAATCATCACATCAATAAACTTAAAGAGAAGAATCCTATGATTACATCAATTAGTGCAGAGAAAGCATTTGACAAAATACAGTACCTTTTCATTCAAAACATTAGAAAAACTAGGGGTAGTAGGAATATACCTCAACATAGTAAAAGCTCTCTATGCAAAACCTAAGGCTAACATCATTCTAAATGAAGAAAAATTGGAAGCATTTCATCTAAAAATTGTTCAACATAATCCTTGCGACTCTAGCCAGAGAAATTAGATGAAAGAAATTCAAGGGAATACAAATAGGAAAAGAAGAACTCAAATTATCATTCTTTGCCAATGACATAATTTTACACTTGGGAGGATCCAAAAAACTCCACCAGAAAACTTCTAGAATAATAAATGAATTTGGCAAAGTAGCAGCATATAAAATTAATACCCATAAATCAAATGCATTTCTATACATCAGTGATGAATCCTCTGAAAGACAAATAGCAAAACTACCCCATTCACTATATATATATATATATATATATATATATATATATATATATATATATATATATATATATATATATATATCACAGCTTTTTTACCCATAGATGAATCTAGTATCATCCTGATAGCTAAACCAGGCAGAGACAGATTTCCTTAGATAGTCATAGAAATAACAAGCTGAGAGTGTTTGAAGTAAAACCAGAACAGTGATAGTGGCAATAGAACAGAGAGATGTTCAGGAGAGAGAATCATCTAGGCTAGAAAACTAGCTGTGGGCAGCTGGGAGTGTGGCTAGTGATAGAACACTTGCCTAGCACATGGGAGACACTGGGTTTGATACTCAGCACTGCATAAAAATAAATAAATTAAATAAAGGTATTGTGTCCATCTCTACATAAAAATTATTTTTTTAAATAAAAGAAAACTCACTGGGCAGTGAGAGAGAAATTGACAGTGATGTTTCTGTTTCCAATATAAGAAATGGGGAATATATCCCACATACAAAGATGGAGCAATTTTTAGGGGTATTTTTCTTCCTTCTGCTACTAAGATTTCAGTAGTTCCTTCTACTTACATGCATTTTATCCTAAAATAGTACTCTGAAACTCAGTTTGGTGTGTGGTAAGTATCATAATGAAACAAAGGATTCTTTCCCTAGACCCACCAAACTTGACCCTTGACAAACGTTTTGTAGTCTTCTATAGCCCGAGTTTTCTCCACCCTTCTCAAGTCATAGTAAACTACCATTAAGGACATCTATTACACAAATCTCATACACTTTATGTGTTCTTCTTTTCAGGGTTGTAGACCATTCTGAAGAAAACCTGATGAACTCAAAAACTTGGGGGTGGTATTTGGACCATGTCTGATGAGGCCCAGGCCTACTAACCACTCCTGGTACCATCTCTTCCTCTCTTGTTGCATATGCCAATCAGGCCCTGTTGGTAGAGTTCCTCATTACCAATTCATAGATGATCTTCGATGGGTCCCTAGAGCCACAAAATGTTTCATCTAGTACTGATGTTGTTGCACCTTGGGTGGATAAAAGCCCTCCTACCAAACCCGTATATCAACAGAACATTCCACAAAGTCACAATATTTTTTCTACAAAGCAAGTGAGTTTTGACCATTACAGAATTGGATTAAATATGTGATGTTTATGTTAACAAGTTAATAGTCTTTGAACTGTTTGTTTTTGAGATGTGTTTTCCTTTTAGTTTAAAGCTTTTCTTGTATCAATAGGATATCCACAATGCAGATATTTAAATTAAAAATTATGAATTGGCTACATCATTTGAGGAATCAGAATGCAAGCAAAATGCATTGGAATAATGGGATGCATGTCTCATTGGTGAGTGGTCATGTAACATATATCTTTGCATATTTCAAACCTTGCCAAGAAGTCATGATTAAAAACCAAAGTGAGGGCTGGGCTTGTAGCTCAGTGGTAAAACGCTTGCCTTGGCAAGTGTAAGGCCATGAGTTGGATCCTCAGTACCATATAAAACAAATAAATAAAGATAAAATATTGTGTCCATCTACAATACTCATCCTTTAAAAAAAAAACAAGGTGTATTAAGTTGAGGTAAGTTCAAACTTCAAGGTTTTATTAGTTAACTTTTCTAGCCACTGAGAAAGTTTAATGAATGTCATTTAAATGAATATCATGCTTTGTTTCTTTCTTGTAAAAAGATATCTTGAAATTCATAAATTATTTTTGTTCTCTTTCTGAGATTTGTTTTCACCTTTACTTCTTTGTCATCAATTAAAGTCAAAACAGAAAAAAGCTGGACTCCTGAAACTCAAAAAAATAGACTCCTAAAGTTTTTTGATGTCCCTTTACTAGCACATTAAGCACACATGTCTTCCATTTTCTTGGCTACAGTCTTTTTGCTCACTGTTTTTTGATCGCTTTATTTCAGTGAATGGTTTCTGGTAAGGGGGTTGAAAACCTTTCATTCGCTACTGCTTTAGTAGAACTAAATCCGAATTTTTCAATATATGTTAAATTTGATATATAAAATTAATGAAATATCAATTAGTGTAGCCTGAGAAAGTCTGAAAACAAACACAGTCCATTACCTCTCTGCAAAGAAAAGCACTGGACTCACTGATTCCATTTATATGATTTGTTCTTATTAGCATTTCTGTGCTATGAACCTTGGCCTCTTTTAAGTCATAGCTAACAGTCTGAGGAAGGTAAATAATGCCAAGGGTCATGTCCCTAAATTATCGTTGATTCAGGTTTTGAACCTCATCCTCTCTCATTCATAAATGTAACCTTGTTTCACTGTCCAATGAAATTGGATTCCCAGGTAGGTATAGAAATAACAATAAATAATTTTAAAATATTTGAAATTTTCATTACATACTACGTAATTCTGAGCCTTTTCTTTAGAAGATCATTAACACCACATGCCAACATAACTCCACATAGGAGTTTGTCTTGACAGAAGAAGGCAAGCCTAGTGCACTAGGCTTGCCCAGGGCAGAAATGGAGCTGGAGCTGAGCCAGCACCCAGGCAGCTAGAAGTGGTGCTAGAAGTTCTGCAGGACTGTAAATATGTTCTGGTGGTTGCCCTCCAACCACAATGGCTCAGCTCCCTTCTATCAATGTGGAGAAGGGTCCAGGACAGCAAATCACATGAGCACTGCCTGGGAACCAGGGAAGAGAGGCCAGCAGCCTCAGGTGAAGAAGGAGGTCAGATGAGATGATGACCTGCGATCATCATCAAGTGATGCTGCTGTGCACCTTCAGCCAATTATCAGCAAACTCTATGGAAGTGCAGACCATCCCCGGACTGGTGAAGAGGATACAGCAGAAAGAGAAGAGTTGTAGACAATGATCTGCTAGTGCTGTAATATTGTAAATACTGGACTCAGGAACTTTCATTAGGAGACAATTGAGAAAACTTAAGTCTCGAATGTACTTGGAATTTTCACCTCAGAGTGGAGTTGAAAATGCTATAGCCCAAGTGGCTGTTTACTGCTTTCCATTAGCAGTTGCTCATATGTTTTGGGGTGGAGAGAGAGGAGGAATTGGGTATCTTAAAAACTGGATATAAAAACGTGGGTGAGGATGTGTGTTCACCTCAGAAATGTTCTATTTAATGATTTGGTCATGCACATCTCATGTAGGAACGGTTTTCTACCATAATTCACATCAATAAATGTTTGTTATTTAAAAAAAATACTAAAAAGTTTGGAACTGTCATAAAATAAAAATTTATACAGATAAAGCTAAGGGAAAAAAACACTATCAGAAGCATTAAAACCATCTAAAGCCAAATAACTAAACTATATAATTTAAATTATATTTATATATAATATATTATGTATTATGTATTATATATTATATATTACATATTATAGAATGACATATATATATGATATATTATAAGTAATTTATATATAATTATAATATAATCCATATATTTTATATATTATATTAATATAAATTAAACTATAATATAATAATCATATCATTATCTTATTAATAATAGAAATTATGTTATTATATAATTACATTACAATAAGTAATATAACACAAATTAATATAAATTTAGATATTTTATATGATAATAATATGTTATATATAATATAATAATATATATTTATATTTAGTTTATATATTATTATATGTGTATATAAAAATATGTATTTCCTATATTATAAATAAGTTTTATTAAATATGTATAAATCATATATATTTTTATATATAAATACATAAAATTTATATAATATATGATTTATATCATATATATATTTTACATATATATTTACATATTAATATATATAATTTATATGTAAGCATACAAATATATATATAATTTATATAAATATATAATATATAAATATATGCATATATAACATATAATATAATTTATATTATATATTACATATAATTTATATTATTATATAAATTATATGTAATACATAATATAATTATATATTAGTATTTATAATTTATATATATTTAATTTATATATAAAATTTATATATATTATATGTATATATAATAAAATAATAATATATGTAATATAAATTAATATAAATGAGAATGTTTTATGAATATTGCTATGTATTTTCTCTTGAGATCATGTGGGTTTTGTTAAAACCATTCCTTTTGGCCAGAAACAGGGATGTATGCCTGTAATCCCAGTAGCTCTGGAGGCGGAGACCGGTGGATCTCAAGTACAAAGCTAGCCTTAGAAATGGCGAGGTGCTTAGCAACACTGTCTCTAAATAAAATTCAGAATAGGGTTGCGGATGCAGCTCAATGTTTCAGTGTCCCTGAGTTCAATTCCCAGTACCAAAATATATATATATATATATATATATATATATATATATGTATATATATATATATATATATATATCCTTTTGAATGAAATGTTTTTACTTATAAATCACTTTACATACTCTTTCTACCTGGACTATCAACCAGTGAAAACGTTTATGTCATTAGAATAGAGCAATAATTTATTTAAGTTCATTTTGAGAGTATAGTAAGTCTTATTGTTTGCAATTTGAGAAATGTAGATTACTGAATCTGTTTCATTTATAAAATACCCAGTTTTTATAAACTAATTCATTCCTGTTATTTTCTGGGTTTCATCATCTTGCCTAAAATAGGATGTAAAAGGGACAAAAATAAAATAGCCTTCTTTTGTATGTTTGAACTGTATTGTGAGTCAATGTTTTTGTATGATCATATTATACTTGATAAAAAATTATATGTACAGGTTTATACACACATTATTATATGTAAATTATTTCAAGTACATCAAGTAATTGTGGCTTCTCTGAAATTGTTGCCTCTTGGAGTATGATACCTTAAGATTATTAACTATTGACTCAGTGGTCAACACATGGGCTCATCACTTGACTATAATATGAAATGGGTTTTAGGGAATGTTGTCTTATAGTTCTCCATAACATTAAGGACTAAGGAGAAATGAACAAATGACATTTTTTATACTAAAGCCATTTTTTTAGCCTTCCTTATACAAAGTACAAGAATCATATTGGTTTGAACTTAAAAATAAAATCGGAGCTGGCATTTATTGAGCTTCTTTTGTGTATTTAGACTTTACCAAGTTGAAATTTCACAGCAACCTATAATGGGTAAGTAAGCATTTTATAATTCCTGTGTTACAGGTGAGGAAACTGAGGCTTAGCTAACTGACATGTCTTTAGTTTTCAGAGATGCAGCAAGCAGATCCAAATCTCAAATACAAGGCTGTCAAATTTTGATTAGTGCTTCTTTTTTCTTTGGGGGGGGGGTACCAGAGGTTGAAATCTTAAGCACTCGGCCACTGAGCCACATCCACAACACTATTTTGTAAATTATTTAGAGACAGGGTCTCACTGAATTGCTTAGCACCTTGCTTCTGCTGAGGCTCGCCTTGAACTTTCAATCCTCCTGCCTCAGCCTCCCAATGGGATTACAGGTGTTCACCAGTATGCCCGGGTGGTTAGTCCTCTTAATGATGGTGATGAGGATTGAGTCCATAAGTATAGGGGTGAGAGAGGCGCCTTGTATCTCTGGGGCCTTTGATATAAACTATTTCATGTCCATATTGGATATCCTCAGGCCTCTGAGTTCTACCTATGTCTTTCATCCCCACAATCCACAGGAGAAATTGAAAATGGAAGTCCTGGTCAACTATTCTCTTTCAGTTCCCAATCTGCTCTGTATTTTCTCACTCTTTGTTTTGGATTTTTAAAAAATTTCCCTGGCCTTGTTGCCATCTGT